GCTTTATTCAACTTTTTGCTTGCGTGTTAGCTAGTGATTAGTCGGGACCAATGGTCCTGGACAATGTAATAATTTCTCAAAGCATCCTTGTTTAATGCTTGTTAAGTCCATCCCCCAGCTTCAAAGAACTTACAAAGAGACTGACTTCAATTTTTTCCAACTAGCTGCCATAGGATTGAACCTTCTTAACAAGTCAATATTAAATACGGGGTAGCTAATGAAAATCTTGATCAGTCAACATATTTTCTTGCTCTGTCAAAAGTGTTCTGAATTTTATTTTCAACACCGTGTAAGCTGCTGAATGCATGTACATGGATTCCTACTTGTTAGGGGGTATCGTCCTAAAGGGTCTTCTGGAAGTCTTAGCATTTCCATCTGAAGAAAATGTTTTGATGTCATTGGACATATATTATGTGCTAAGTTATTCAGCCTCTTCGAGGTAATGATGATTCATGGACCTCATAAAGTGTCTCTAATATGATAACCACCTACTGATGCATGAATAAAAGAGTACGATTATTTTTAAGATCTTAGCTTTACAAGTTACAACACATTTGATATGGTTATCATCTTTAGAGAAACAAAAAGACCCAAGAAGTTGGTGTGCTTAGTGACATTATACGGGAATTCTAGCTACTTGAGTGTAAATGTTAAGGTTTCAGGCCAGCCCTGTGCCATGCTGAGATGGGAAAATTTGTGGAGGAGTTTGGTGTTCAAGTTATAGTTGTCTTGTGTAGTGGGGTCTCAGGATTGAGATGCTTAAAGTGTTATGACATTGTGCCTATGGTGGTCTTTGTGGAGGGAGAGGACTAGAAGATCCTTTGAGGGAGAGGAGGCTTCTATAGGGGTGCTTAAGTTCTATGGTGGTCTTTGTGGAGGGAGAGGACTAGAAAATTGTACAATTATTCTTTCTCCATTTGTATTTTATAGTTCAGTTATTAAAAACAATTATGGTTATTGGCGATAAACTGTTGAAAATTCACATAAGCTCAGCAAAGTTTGAAATTAAACCTCTATGGTTATTACAATCTTCCTTTGTTTTAATAAATTCTAAAGCAAGTACCAGAATTTACCTTACCTGCTATTACATTGGTCATCCTGTTCTTTCTTTGTAAAAAATAAACTCGGACGCATTGTATGTGATCTACTTGCATCCAGAAAGCATTGAGATTGTGTTTTTCCAGTCAGACAGACAAATTGATTGGAAATGCATGCCATACAATGTCATAATATAACATAATATAAGTCTGCGTCGAATCAAAGGTTCGTATTTTTCGTGTGTAGCTTATTTGGTAGTTAGAACTTAATAAGTACCAGCTGCGAAAAGAACAAGCAGTATCACTTTATTGGTAGAAGCAGTAGTACTCACAAAACAGACACGAAGCAGGCAACGGAAACAACTGATAGTAACAACAGCCCTGAAAACAGATTATTTTTACACAAGGTCTTGAATTATGAAATCATTCAGAGCCTGGATGATCCCTTGGGATAATGGGTGACAATATGGTTGTAGGCATTTAAGGTCAGAAAATCATCGAGTGCCGGGGATATGCACTGCCTAGTGAAAATCTTGCAAGCCTCCTTGTACATACCCTTCTTGAATTTTTCCTTACCAACCTCCCTTTCAATCCTAGCCATTTCTTCTTCCACCACTCTACCGAAGAGGTCCAAGTTCACCTTCACCCCAAGTCCATCTCCGACCAGTTCCACTCCATACTTCAACCACTGCCAGTTCTGAACTCTGCTAATCTCTGCCGTAGCAGCATCCTCCATGAGGTTGTAGAGAGGAACCGATCCAGTTCCGGTGAGCCATGCTTCCAAGTACTGGATTCCGACCCTGGTGTTGAGCCGGAGGCCTTCCATGGTTCTAACCCCTCTAGGCCTTTGTAAGAGGTCTTCTTCGGTCAAGTTTGCTGCATCTTCTCGCTTCACGGTCTGGATTTGGTTAGGAGCATTGCCCATGTTATTGGTAAAGACTTCCATGATGGCTGGGATCAGACCAGGGTGGGCTGCCCAAGTTCCATCATGCCCTGCCCTTACTTCTCTCAGCTTGTCCTTCCTCACCAGCTCCAGTGCTGCCTCATTTGCCACCGGATCATCTCTAATCGGGATCTGTGCTGCCTGTTAAGAGTTGAGGAATTCAGTATTCACAACATAATCACGGAGTGTTTGAACTTCTAAATTGAGATCATGCTAAAAGAGACTTGAATCCTGACTTCTCTTTGGGAGGTAAGAAACTGATACGGCTAGACTACTGACCCGTCGATAAAAAAGAGACAAATCCAACCAATGAATGGTATATATTATTAGTACGAGGGATGCATTGAACAGAGAAGAGCTACATACCATGCCTCCCATAGCATGCACACCGCGCCTGTGGCAGGTCCTGATGAGGAGATCGGAGTAACTCCTCATGAAGTGCTGTGTCATTCCGACCTGAACCCTGTCCGGTAACAGGCGATCAGGGTGAGCCTGGAAAGTCTTGACATAGCTGAATATGTAATCCCATCTGCCGCAGTTCAAGCCGACAGAGTGGTCCCTTAGCTCATAAAGGATTTCATCCATTTGAAAGACTGCCGGAAGTGTTTCAATTAGAACAGTGGCTCTGATGCTTCCTTTTTCTATCCCAGCCATTTTCTCTGCCCTCTCGAATACGCTATTCCATATTCTAGCTTCCCTGCAGAAACATATAGATTCATACCAAAATTCTATCAGACCAAATGTATCTACAAAATAGGAGAATCACTCGTTGCCATTGTTTTGACCTTGAACAGCAGCAACATGACTACTTATACCTTGAGTGCTCCATTTTAGGGAGGTAGAAGAAAGGCCCAAATCCTGCGCCTTGGTTCCGGCGGAATGTTGCATAGTTGTGGTAAAAATAAAGGCCGAAATCCACAAGGCAACCGATTGCGGGTTCACCGTCAATGAAGACGTGGGACTCAGGTAGATGCCAACCTCGCGGGCGGACAAAAAGCTTGGCTGTCTGTTCATTGAGCTTGTAAACCCTATTCCTGGCCTGGTCATGGAAGCTTATAGTCCCATCAACAGCATCCTTTAAATTCACTTGCCCTCTCATCAGGTTCTCCCAGTGTGGCGACAGAGCATCTTCGAAGTCAGCCTATGAAGAACAAAACAATTTTATGTGTCTTGGATCATTGAAATTTGAATAATGAAGAAGATATTTTATTTATTTATTTTTATTTCTTTATGAATGCTATGCATTCGTTGTAGTGTGGAGATCATTCTTTAGATAACTGTATTAATGATTAATATTTCATGCTTTTCAACTGGTTGTTAATTATATATTTGAAGTTAAATTCTGCCCAGAATTTTCAAGTTTCTTAATGAATATCCTATTTGTTATATATTGGATGTGATTAACTTCTCTTTTTGTCTCTCTCTCTTAATGACAGGTCCGAGCTGAAGCAATGAAATTTGCTTTTATTTAAGGGGAGAGGAAATAAAACACTAAGCTTCTTACAAAGTCAGTTTGGTACCAATTGAACACACATTTCACGGACATGACTATGGATATAAACAGTGGCTTAGCCAAGAATTTTCTTCTGTGGGGTAATCTTTAATAGCAATAATACACATATATATATATATATATATGAACCAAAACAATATATGTAAAAATTAAAACGTTGATTCATTGTATTTCTATTATTTTTCTAGATTATTCATTACTGTTTCAAAATTAAGTTCATTTAATTCAATATATAAAAAAAAAAATCATATTCAATGAATCAAGAATAAAATATAAAAAAGAAAATAACACAGTTACCGGTTCTAATATATAACATATGTTTTAAAAAAAAAATCCATGATAAGTTAATATGTGATTTCATTGATTTGGACTGCAAATAAAAACAAATTCTAAGTATTATTTAGAGAATAATAATTAGTAGCACGATTACACAAACTAAATTTTGAAAGAACAAACAAGCCCTAAAATAATTTTGATAATAATAAGTAATAAAATTTCTAATTAAAATTATAATATGAAATAATAATCGTAAATTTATATGATAAAAAAAAATTTTAAAAAAAAAATCAGATTACTGTCACACTACAATAGACTCTTAGTCATTCAGTCTAATGTTAAAGATTGAAGATATGATAGAAACAATCCATTTGTTTGTGGTAAAGTCAAAAGTGTGATAGAATATTAGGAAAGAATATAATATTTTGCGAAAGTAGAAAAAAATATCATATTTTATGGAAAGTAATAAATTGATAGAATATTTACAATTATGTGATGATTATATTCTTTTGTTGTCAAATTTTAGAAGAAACAATTATATAAAAATAAAAATCTTTTCATATAAAATTTAGAAAATTTAAATTGCCCTTACTTGTCCCTGTGTAGCTTCGCAAGTGGATATATATTGGGTCTTTCAGTTGGACATGATTAAATAATATAAATATTTAGTATTGTTTATTTTCAAATTATCAGATTTAACATGTTCTGATAAGTTGTCATTTCAATTGCTTCTCATATTTGTGTCTTAAGAGATGAGGAAATTAAAGTTATGCAGAGAGCATGATGAATAAATGAACATGAAATAAATAAAAAAATCAACAACACCACATACCATGAATACTTTAGCTCCAGAATTGAGTGCATTGATAATCATCTTCCTCTCCACCGGTCCCGTGATCTCCACCCTCCGATCAGCCACAGCCTGCGGGACTGCCGCACACGTCCACTCTCCCTCCCTCACAAACCTCGTGGCCGGATCAAACCCCGGCACCGCCCCACCATTATACCTCGCCTTAGCCTCCATTCTACACTCCATTGCATGCTTAACATGGTTCCTGAACTCCCTCTGCAGTTCAGCAACAAACTGCAGAGCATCCTTAGTAAGAATCTTCGCAAACTCCGCATCGTATCGACCCCTAATGTCTACACCTTGGGGTACATCATAAACCGCCGCGCTGCCGCCGGAGTTTTTAGCCGGAGCAGTGTAACCGTAGATTCCAAGCCCCATCATCTTCTTGCTTATTCTTCTTCTTGTTGTTGTTGGTCTTGTGATAATACTACTACTACTGTTGTATTGTTTGTTTATAAAGGGCAGGGGTGGGGTAGTGGATAGATATGGGAAGTGTTATGATAATGTGCTAAATTTAGAGGGTGTATGGAATTATGTGCGTCATATGATGAAAATGTGGCATGTTATTGATAAGTGTGAGGATAGGTTTTGGTATTTGAGCCAACCTCGGGAGGTAGAATCTGTTGGGATATGACGGTCCATCGGTGCCATTCATGTCATACTTATCATGGATGGTTATGTAATGAAGATGAAGCTGAAGTTTGTGGTGTAACAATTATGGAGGAGGGAAATGATAAAAGAGAAATAACAAATACAATTTTATGAATTCATGCTTTTTTAACTAAAAAATAATTTTTGTAACAATGTCAATCATTCGAATTTTGTCAAAATTTGTCCTTTAAATTTTAGTAACGGGAAAACAGAAAACTATTTTTATAAAATTAATTAATGAATCTCTACATTTTTTTTCTTTTTCTTTTTTTCTACATGATAATGGAATAAGAGGAAAGGATTCTTAGCAATAGCTTCTTCTTTCCGCAATAAATCCGCAAACTAAAGGGAGCCTAAATTCTCCATAATAACATACCTAATAATATAACTTAAAGGATTACCTAGTGCTAAAATGTTAGAGGTGTCCTTGATCTTGTCATGCCAAGCACCATGGGTAGGTAAGGTAATTCGACCGCAACCAGAATTGGGTGGAGAAAAATATTAAAAGTATCCTACATCGGTGATGAACATTTATGCAAAATATATTGGTCCCAGCTTCTGTCAAACACTCAATTAAATCCACTCCAACAGTACAAAGTTCAGTCCATTTTCAGTACACACTACATATAGATAGGGGTTCAAGAAAGACCGAGACCAAATAGACCTATGGAAGCTCAAAATTTACCCAATAAAGGTGTCTGTTACGGCCCATTTAGGGTTCCACTATTGGCCCAAGAATGGGCCCTTATTGTGTGCACACGCCGACTTAAAAAAAAAAAAAAAAAAAAAAATTCCTTTTACAAATAATTAATTAGCAACTTCTTTTGAGTAATTGAAATTTTATATATTTATGAAGTTAGGTGTATTGTCTTTTTACACATTTATTGATAACAAACAAAATTTTAAGAGTAAAGATTAAAGTTTAAGAGGTTTTTCTCATTTAAATAATTCTTACTAAAAAGAAATAAATATTAAAATCCACATTTTAAGCAATTAGACATAATTGTAAATTAAACAGGTCAACAGCATAAAATTTTAAAAGATAAAAAGTAAAATCTAAATTAATCGAGTTTCTTACGGAATTGAGAAAGATATTCATGAATAAATTATGGACCACTGTGCCCACACACAACCCTTTTATTTGGACAGTTTGAATTTGGTGTTTAAAGCAACAATGTTACATATTACTCTAGGAGCTTAAATAGGTAGTATTACAACATATAGAAGTAATAAGATGTTCAGAAAGAGTGTTTAAGACATTTTGAGACATAAAACGGTAATATTTTTTTGTCACGTGGGTGATTGAAAAAGGACAATGCTTGAGAACTTGTGGGTTGGGTTGAATCACAAATATGAATATACCTATAAGAAAAAGAACAAAAAAAATAAAAATTAATAGTGAATTCTTGAATATCAATTATATTAATCTCTGAGTTGCTTAAAAACCTTCATCAAATTCCAAAAGAAAAAAATTAAAAAACAACGGATAAGATAAAATCAATATAATCACAATCAAACAGAATAGATGAAAGAACTAAAATTCTTTTTAAATTGAAACCTCAAAAAATAACGGCAAAAGTAAAATTAATAAATCATAATAAAATAGAATAGAAGAATTAATGACAAAAAAATGGAGAACTTAATCAAAAACCCTAAATTGGACGAACCTAATCCATTGAATTCTACAAGAAGAAAAAAAAAGTCTAAGAATTAAAGAATAAGGACAAAGGTAAAATAGTACAATATACGTAATAATTGCAATTTCCATTAAGAATTTTCAAACATGCAAAAATAAAAAATAAAAACCTAACAATAAGGTTTATTAAAGAAGACTAAACAACTTAGAGAAATTGTATATTCATACTCAAATAGAATAGAAGAAATAATTAAATTTTAAAAAAAAAATTACAACCTTGAAAAATAATAATAAAACTCAAATCAATAGAACCATAATCAAATGGAATAAAAGAAAGAATGAAAAAGAAAAAAAAAGAAAAAAAAAAAAGAACTTAATCAAAAGTCCTAAATTGGACAAACCTAATCCATCAAATTCTACATAAAAAAAAAACAAAAAATAAGGATGAATGTAAAATTAATAAAATTGTACAAGATACACAATAGTTGTAATTCCCATTAAAATTTTTCAAACAGGCAAAAAAAAAACTATAAATAACTAACTACAAGATTTACTAAGTAAAACCAAATAACTTAGAGAAATTGTAAAAAAAAAAAATTGGCATGCACGAGGATTACGCTAAACTGGACGAGCCTAATCCTATCAAATTTTGCAAGAAAAAAAAAAATCAAGAAATAAGGACAAAGGTAAAATCAACAATAATAAAATACTAATTTTAATAAATTATAAAACATAAAGCATTTCAAAAGTTAATTTTTAAAAACAGTTTTAAATAGAGTTAAAAAAATTATCTAATTTCAGAAAAGTGTACAGTCATTACCATTCTTCTATATGCAAATTTAAATGCAAGAATTTTCATTTTATACCGCGCGCGCATGGGGACGTGCGTGCGGTGAGTCCATTTTTGTTTTTGCTGTTCTTTTCCATTTGATCTCCGAATAAAGTGATTTTTGAGTTTAACTTCGTTAATTTTTCGTTGTCTATCCAATGGTGTGCTCAGTAGCACCCATGACTTTCTAAAAATTATTGTTTTGCCCCTAAGGCTAAAATTGTTCGTTTTTAAAACGTCGCTTCCGCATTTTGTTTTATTTTTAAGTTCTGTAGTTTCATTAGAAGTCATGTTTGTGTCTTAGGGATGACATACATCTCACGAGACTTTGTTTTCATGTGAAATGACTATTTTGCCCTTAGAGACATACTTGGTCTATTTTCACCTTTTCACTTCCACATCTTGTTTTCTTTTAAACTCCATGACTTCATGAAAAGTCACTCTAGCATTCTTGGGATGCCGTTTATCCCTAAGAACCTTATTTTCTTTGTTTTCGATTCCGCATTTTGGATCCATTATCGAGTCAACTTTCGGATCACATTGACATATCCGGGTTTATGAAAATTCAGATCGTCACAAATTTTTGATGGTATGTCGGGTAACAAAGAATTGGTGCCTTGGAATTAAAATGGAAGAAAAATCAGTTCAAAAACCCTTCTTTTTTTTTTTTTTCTCTCTAGGAGTTTACTTTAAACTAATTTTTATGCAATTTTAATTTTAAAATACCAATTCTATTCTACCCACAAAATTTCCATTTGTTTTCTTTCTCTTATCCTTAATAGAGGAAGTAACAATAGGTAAATAGACTAAAAGACTTTTTTTGTTAATAAATATTAAAGTTATTTTCATCATTAAAATCATAGTCATTCCTACATCTAAACATGGAATAAAACACATTGGTTACTATCCATTGTCAAAGTCATCCTCAAATATACACAATAATTGTAATTCCCACTAAGAATTTTCAAACATGCAAAAAAAACAAGATTTATTAAAGGGTTGTTTGGTCAAGGGTGGTTTGATATAGTGTAGCTCAGACCATGGAGAATTGGTGCGCCCATAGATATGGACCATTGACGGAGGAGAAATAATCATGTGCGGTTGAGCTCACAGCAGCAGAGACTCCAGCCAGTCAGAACACACCAATACACATGGAGACTTGGATTTGTTGCGTGCAAGTGCGTGAAAAGCGCGTGGGCGCACATGTTGATCCCTGTTTACCTATTTTGTAACATGAAATTGAAACAGTCATAACAATAGCTTAAAATATAGCTTAACAATGACTGATGCTTAGTCTGGTTATTAAAGGTATTAAAAATATAGCTCAAAAGTTTATTGCGAGTGTTTGTGGAGTATGAACATTTGTGTCTTTCCCCATCCTTTTCTTTTTTCTTTTAACTTTTTTTTTTTTTTTGATAGATGTTTTCATTGTATCAGTTCATTGTGGTATGTGTTCCTCATTTCTTATTTATATTTCTTTCTAAATAAAATCATCGTTTGGTAATGTTCATTTATTTCTTAAATTATGTAAACAATAAACAAGAAACATGTTTGGTTTGCACAAAATAATCAAGATCCAATCCACTATTCAGAAAAAAAAAAAAAATAGCAAATTTTAAAAATATATATTATATTTATTGCACAATTTCTAAGCTATAAATCATTCATATATCTTTTTTTTTTTTTCCCCATTCCAACAACATATATCTCTGGTTTTTGATTTAGCCAATCTCTAAGGTTTCAATCATAACAAGGAAGAGAGAATCAGGCATGATTAAGAGATGGAAGGTGGGAGTGAGTAACTGGCCAAATATCTAGGGTTTTGATGATGAGAGCAGGGCTAGCCCTGGACCAAGGCGGTCGCCTAGGGCCTCAACAAAATTTTCGGGCCCATTAGTGATACATTTAAAATAAATAAATAAAAACAACAACAACAACAACTTAGGCCCCTTACCATGAGTGATAGTTCCAAATAAAAAGAAAAAACCTTAGGCCCCTTTCCATAAGTGATAAGCCCAAATAAAAAAAACTTAGGGCCCTTCGATTATATGAATTCACTGCCCATTTAAAATTAGGATCCTTAAAAACTTGGTGATTAAATTCGAAATTGAATTTGACCTTATATTACTTTATGTGTCTGTTATTGTGTATTTCAATAATTAAAGGGTCTCAAATTTAAGTTCGCCTAGGGCCTCTCAAGATTTTGTCAATCTCAGGGCCGGTCCTGGATGAGAAAGTAAACATTCAACTCGGTGAGAATGATAG